AGGACATTGGTTTCGGCTTTGGTGAGGATCCTATCTGAGATGTTATGCACTGTTTGCTTCATGTGTGGCTGTGAGGGAGGAGGGGTTTGTTTCTGGCGTTCTTGTAGTCTTCGGAGTTTGTTGGTGTGTGTATCTGTCTTGAGGGTGGTCTGTGTTTCGGCTCTCCAGACGGCAAGTTGTTTGGATTTGTCCCAAAGTGCGGGGTGGATCTTGTTGCTGAGTTTGAGGTGGAGTGTGAGGAGATCTTTGTTAATTCGGTCTAGGAGGAATCTTTTTGTGTGAAGTTCATTTCTGATTAGGGCCAATTCTGTTCTTTTCAGGATCCGTTTGGTGGCTGCAGAGTTGGAGTGGAATTTCAGTTGGAAACATGTGGGGATTAGATTTTGATCTCGGCAGTTGCGTAGGAATGCGAGGTCGCATAAAATGGAAGCTCTTTGGACTTCAAGTTTTTCATAGGTCCTGGTCAGATGGTGGATTTGCCTCCCCGTAGAGGTTCAATATTTGTTTTCTGAGGTTTTCGCGGGTATTTGTATGTAGGTCTTTGGTTGTTCGGGTTTTCTCCCACGTAAAATTGGAAGTGTCTTGGCGACGTTTCGACGAAGTCCCATTCGTCATCTTCAGGCTGGTGCTTTCAGCTTCGTGCCTCGAGCAGCATGTGTGGTCTTAGCTGTTTCTTCCTTTTAACTGCCAGTGGGGGTATGAACTGATTGGGTGGGAGCTTGGCTGTGTTCTGATTGGGTGGAGGTGTGTTCTGATTGGTTAGGGGCGTGGCTGTGCTCTGATTGGCTGGGGGGTTGGCTGTGCTCTGATTGGCTGGGGGGTTGGCTGTGCTCTGATTGGCTGGGGGAGTGTTCTGTTTGGTTGTGCTCAGGTTAGTCTGAGTTGCAGAGGGATTCAAGATTTTGGGCTGCCCTGCCATTCCTTGGCTTCGCGTTCGTGGTCGTGCTTCCTCTTCATGGAGGGTGTCAGTTTGCTTCATGTATGGATTGGGGGGGTTTAAAGTGGCTAATGATGCAGCTGTGGTCTGGCTTCTGGTTTGTGGTCGTGCCTCATAGTCAGTGTGGCTTTGGGTTTGTTTTTTGCGTGGATGTTTGGTGGTGACCTCCTGTGTGGTTTTTGTGAGTGTGGGTCTGGTATCATTTTTTGTGTTAGGGAGTCGTTTGTCAATGAGGGCGGGTTTCCAAATGGCTGGTAGGCGGGAGGTATCATCTCGCTTGTTCATGCTGTGTGGGCGTTTTTCTATCTCGATGGCTTCTCTGATTATTCTGTTATTAAAATGTTCACTTTTGGCAATGGTTCTGGTATTTTTAAAGTCAATTTCATGTCCTGTGGCTTTAAGGTGTTGGACCAGGGAAGATGTTGGTTCCTCTTTTTTGACTGAGTTCTTATGTTCTTCAATGCGTGCACTTATTCTTCTGTTGGTTTGTCCGATGTATGTGGTGGGACAAGTGGTGCATGGGATTTCGTATACTCCTTGATTTTCTAATTCAATTTTATCTTTGGGGTTTCTAAGGATGGTGGATATTTTTCTGTTTGTGCAGAATGCTGTTTTGATGTTGTGTTTATGGAGGATCTTACTGATTCTGTCTGTGATGCCTTTTATGTATGGGAGGATGGCTTTGCCGTTTTCTTGTTCTTTGTCTTGGATTTTAGTGGGGGTTTCTTTTTGGATTAGTTTGTAATCTTATTTCTATGGAATCCATTGGATGTTAGTACATTGGTGAGAGTGTGTAGTTCGGGTTTTAGGTGTTGTTCGTCAGCTAAGCGTTTTGTTCTGGAGATGAGTGTCTTGGCTACAGAGTTGATCTGTGCTGGGTGGTGGTGTGAGAGAGCGTGCAGATAGCGGTTTGTGTGTGTTTTCTTCTGGTAGATGGTGTGTCCTAGGGAGCCATTGGATTTCTTGTAGACTAAGACATCCAGGAAGGGAAGTTGGTTGTTAGCTTCTGTTTCCATGGTGAACTGTATTTTGGGGTGTAGGCTGTTGAGGTGTGTGAGGAAGTTGTCCAGTTTTTCTTTCCCATGTGGCCAGATTATGAAGGTGTCGTCTACGTATCTGAGCCAGAGTTTGGGTTTGTGATCCGATTTTTCTAGAGCTTGGGTTTCAAAGTGTTCCATGTAGAGGTTGGCAATGACAGGTGAGAGGGGTGATCCCATGGGTGCTCCTTCTGTTTGTTTGTATTTTTGTCCATTATAGATGAAGTATGTGTTGGATAGGCAGTGGTTGGTCAGATCTAAGATGTGTTTGGGGGGTTATATTTGTTTTGGATAGCTGTCAAGGCTTCTTTGATAGGCACTTGTGTGAAGAGGGATATGACATCGAAGCTCACTAGTAGGTCGCTGGGCTGTAAGTTTTGTTTCTTTATGATCTCTATAAACTGGAATGAGTTTTTTACGTGTGAGGTGATGGATTCTGCATAGGGCTGTAGTTGTTTGGCGAGAAATTTGGCTAGGTTTTGTAGAGGTGAGCCTATGGAGCTGACTATAGGTCTGAGTGGGGTTCCTTCCTTATGTATCTTGGGGAGACCATAGAGTTTTGGGCATCTGGATGATTTCTCTCTGGGAATGATTCTTTGCTGGATCTCTTCGCTAATGGGGGAGGCTTTTATTTTGGATCTGGTGGTTTTTTCCAGGTAGGTGGTGGGATCTGTATTTAGGGGTTTGTATGTGGAGTCTTGGAGTAGGTTGGTTAATTTGGTTTGGTAGTCAGATGTGTTCATAACCACCGTGGCGTTGCCCTTGTCTGCTGGTAGGATTATTATGCTGGTGTCTTCTTTAAGGTTACGTAGTGCTGTCTGTTCCTCTTTGGGTAAGTTGCTTTTGGGTGGCTTGCTGGTGCAGAGGATGTTGGTGATTTCGAGTCTGATTCTGTTGGCGTCATCGGGGTTGATTTTAGTCAGGCTGGTTTCAACTCCACATATAATGGTTTCAGTGGGGATGTGTTTGGGAGCGACTGCAAAGTTGAATCCTTTGGAAAGGACATTGGTTTCGGATTTGGTGAGGATCCTATCTGAGATGTTATGCACTGTCTGCTTCATGTGTGGCTGTGAGGGAGGAGGGGTTTGTTTCTGGCGTTCTTGTAGTCTTCGGAGTTTGTTGGTGTGTGTATCTGTCTTGAGGGTGGTCTGTGTTTCGGCTCTCCAGACGGCAAGTTGTTTGGATTTGTCCCAAAGTGCGGGGTGGATCTTGTTGCTGAGTTTGAGGTGGAGTGTGAGGAGATCTTTGTTAATTCGGTCTAGGAGGAATCTTTTTGTGTGAAGTTCATTTCTGATTAGGGCCAATTCTGTTCTTTTCAGGATCCGTTTGGTGGCTGCAGAGTTGGAGTGGAATTTCAGTTGGAAACATGTGGGGATTAGATTTTGATCTCGGCAGTTACGTAGGAATGCGAGGTCACATAAAATGGAAGCTCTTTGGACTTCAAGTTTTTCATAGGTCCTGGTCAGATGGTGGATTTCCTCCCCGTAGAGGTTCGATATTTGTTTTCTGAGGTTTTCGCGGGTATTTGTATATAGGTCTTTGGTTGTTCGGGTTTTCTCCCGCGTAAAATTGGAAGTGTCTTGGCGACGTTTCGACGAAGTCCCATTCGTCATCTTCAGGCTGGTGTTTTCAGCTTCGTGCTTCGAGCAGCAATGTGTGGTCTTAGCTGTTTCTTCCTTTTAACTGCCAGTGGGGGTATGAACTGATTGGGTGGGAGCTTGGCTGTGTTCTGATTGGGTGGAGGTGTGTTCTGATTGGTTAGGGGCGTGGCTGTGCTCTGATTGGCTGGGGGGTTGGCTGTGCTCTGATTGGCTGGGGGTTGGCTGTGCTCTGATTGGCTGGGGAGTTTCTGTTTGGTTTGTGCGCAGGTTGTCTAGTTGCAGGGGGATTCAAGATTTTGGGCTGCCCTGCTCTTCCTTGGCTTCGTGCGTTCATGGTCATGTCTTCCTCCTTCATGGAGGGTGTCAGTTTGCTTCATGTATGGATTGGGGGGGTTTAAAGTGGCTAATGATGCAGCTGTGGTCTGGCTTCTGGTTTGTGGTCGTGCCTCATAGTCAGTGTGGCTTTGGGTTTGTTTTTTTGCGTGGATGTTTGGTGGTGACATCCTGTGTGGTTTTTGTGAGTGTGGGTCTGGTATCATTTTTTGTGTTAGGGAGTCGTTTGTCAATGAGGGCGGGTTTCCAAATGGCTGGTAGGCGGGAGGTATCATCTCACTTGTTCATGCTGTGTGGGCGTTTTTCTATCTCGATGGCTTCTCTGATTATTCTTTTATTAAAATGTTCACTTTTGGCAATGGTTCTGGTATTTTTAAAGTCAATTTCATGTCCTGTGGCTTTAAGGTGTTGGACCAGGGAAGATGTTGGTTCCTCTTTTTTGACTGAGTTCTTATGTTCTTCAATTCGTGCACTTATTCTTCTGTTGGTTTGTCCTATGTATGTGGTGGGACAAGTGGTGCATGGGATTTCGTATACTCCTTGATTTTCTAATTCAATTTTATCTTTGGGGTTTCTAAGGATGATGGATATTTTTCTGTTTGTGCAGAATGCTGTTTTGATGTTGTGTTTATGAAGGATCTTACTGATTCTGTCTGTGGTGCCTTTTATGTATGGGAGGAGGGCTTTGCCGTTTTCTTGTTCTTTGTCTTGGATTTTGTTGGGGGTTTCTTTTTGGATTATGTTTGTAATCTTATTTCTATGGAATCCATTGGATGTTAGTACATTGGTGAGAGTGTGTAGTTCGGTGACCTGGGCCAGTCATTCTCTCTCAGCACAATTCACCACAACCATTGTGGGGAAAATAGGAGGAGGAAGATGTGCCGGATATGTTTATCACCTTGAGTTATTTATAAAAATAATAAAGGCAGGATATAAATGAATATAGAAATCAAAGGCTGAACTGTGTAAAACAAACATTCAAATAAAAGACAGTGAATATGCGATGCTATCAGGCATCTACTCAGTGTGTTGCAAATACACATTAAATGTGATAAATGATAAATATAAATAAAAGATTGTAAACATACTCACTTTAGTTGGGTACTTAGAGAAGATCAGCATCAAGAGAATATACATAATAAGTCCACCAAAGGAAATGAGCTGGTTGGTCCCTTGCTTGGCAGTATCAAAAATTAACCAACACACACCAGCAACTATTAAGATGATCCACACTACCCTAGAGAAAAGGGATTCAAACACTGCAATGAATGACTTATGGGAAAAATCATCACCTTGTTTTAGACTGTATCTCTCCCCCCACCCCCAATATAGGCTATTCCAATACAGACATCCTCACAACTATTTATTGCTAAAAACACACTAGCCACATATTGCGTCCCATTGAATACTTGATAACCAACTTCTGTTGGCCTTGGACTGTAAAATGGGGGAGGGGGTGGTGTCAAACTTTTAGTTGTCAAACAGGAAGTACTGACTTCAATTGGAGAAGTTGTCAGTGACAACAATTGATGATAAACACTGATTTCTGGTAAAAAGCCATTAGAGATTTAAGTAATCTCTACTTCCTTAAGTTTTTGGATTGTTTCTTTTTGTGTGTATCCTTAACAACAATGTGGCAGTATAAATCTGACAAATAATGACAGGTTTTCTTTCTCTTTTATTGTGTTTGTAATTTTGCTTGAGAGAGAGAGAAGAAAGAAAGAAAGAAAGAAAGAAAGAAAGAAAGAAAGAAAGAAAGAAAGAAAGAAAGAAAGAAAGTAAGTAAGTAAGTAAGTAAGTAAGTAAGATACTTGACTACCAGTAATGGAGAGAACCCGAACTTCTGAGTTTACTTCTGCATCTAGTTGTCATTAAAATGCAGACTAAGGGGATTGATTTATAAGAACTGGACTAAACTTAATTTCCAAATAGTAAAATGAATGGCAGGGGGAAAAAAAGGCTAGCCAGAAAGACAAAAGAACAGTAGTTTCATTCTTTTTTGGCCCCACTTATTTTAGCTCCACCCATCACTGCATGTAATGGAATCCCAAAACTTTTGGACTTGTGATTGTAAGTTGTGCGCTCAATATTACAACCTTTTTTGTACCATTTTTTTTTCTAGAAAGTCAAAGAACTAAGCAAATGCCCTTAAAATACCAATAAAAGAGTATAGTCTATACTTTAGGCTCTTATAACTAGCTAAACCTGATACGATTCAAGCTGTTTTAGTTTGAAAGATTTTTGGGAGTGTCCCCCCTACTCCCAAATAAGAAGTGTATGATCAGATGAAATAACCACTGGAATTTTTGTCTGAAGACAAGCTTTCAATAATATACGATTATTCATTGTCCTGATAATTTAGCTTCAATAAACGTTTAAGTCTACTCAGTCTCCCCCTCCTTACAAAGGCTACTAAATAGCTATAATTAAACCAGATTGCTTTGATACTATTCCTACATGATCAGTTTGATAATGCATTAACTAACCTTAGGCTAAACATTTTCATCTGCTAATCATTACTAAACTCTTATTAAAAACATAGCTGTGGGAGCTACTTTAATAATTGGCAATGTGTATTTTAATAGTACATCCCCTGCTTAGATACTGAAATGTACTTCTTTAGGACAAAGAAAACTGAAGTTTTATTCTGAGTTAATATCACAAAGTCCTGGGTTTTTTTAGTAACTAAGACGAAACGTAACATAATTTATAGCATTTATATAGTACTGAAAATCACAAACAATTTCATAATCTCATTTTCACTTTTTTAAAAAAAGAAACTTGGTTAATTACCATTTCAACCAAAACCACTGAGCTTTTAGAAATTTTTCCAAAGGAGACAGCAGCTCTGCAATTTTACCCTCATATCTGGCTATGAAAAAGTCCCAACAGATGAAAACAATGGCTAGGAGAGTGAGGATGAAGAGTGCTAAGGCTCTGTGAAAATTCAAGATGCAGGCTGCAATCACCATTGCCAGATAAGCTGTAATGGAAAAAAAGAAAGATCATGTCAGCTGTCCAGAATGCATACAAAATGTCTCCATCTCCTGTTTTTTTTTCCTGAAACAAAATTGCAACAGTTACCTGCAATTTTCAGATCATCAGTAATTAAAAAGAAATGATTATGCTTTGAAATGAATGAATATTATGTTGTACTGAGTATATCTCTTTGGAAATCCTTAGATGTTTTTATAAAACAGGTGCTTACATAAAACCTAGCATTTTTATACCTTCTCACCCAGGGGTCTTTAAACTTGGCCCTTTTGTGACTTGTGGACTTCAACTCCCAGAATTCCTCAGCCAGCGTGCCACACTTCGCATCCATCAGAGTGAGAGAACTGTTCATTTTTTTCATCCTTTCCCTAAAACTGTATGTTTTAATTGGGCAAAAGGGGAAACATCTTGTTTGGAAGAACAGAATAAGAATGATTGTTCCCATCATGACCAAATTATCAACATCCTTTCTGCTTTGGACTGACAAACTGGAGGAAAAGCATCTACAAGGAAGGCCAACTTTCAGTAACTGTTTGAAGTTACAACACCACTGAAGAAAGTGATTACTGACCAGTTTTCACACTTTCAACTGTTGCAGCATCACCACAGTCATGTGATCAAAATTCAGGTGCTTGGCAACCAGCATGTATTTATGACAGTCGCGCTGTCTTGGGGTCATGTGATCACCATTAATAACCTTCACAGCTGACTTTCAACAAGCAAAATCAATGGGGGAGGCCAAATTCAATTAACAATTGCACAATTCACTTAACAAATGCAATGATTTGTTTAAAACTGTGGCAAAAAGGTTGTAAAATGGGACAAAACTCACTTCACAATTGCCTTGCTTAGCAATGGAAATTTTGGGCTCAGTTGTCATCTTAAGTCAAGGACTTCCAATATTCTCCCTGACGGAAGAGGGAGGGGCAAGATGCAAAATACCCTGTTTTACCCGAGCAGGCATAACAGCAGTTAATGAAACTGATATAGTGTCTGCTTAATCTTACTTTTACCTCAGGAAAATTATAGTTGCTACAAGAAGCTAAGCACAAACTAAGTCAAAGCAATTTTGATATCACCACCTATTCCAATGCAATCTAATTATCTAAAACAACAACAACAAAAACTCATCAAAGAAATAAATAATAAATGTACAAAGATTTCACTCAATAGTAATAGTGGGAGAGAGTATTAAAAGAAGAGTTGGTCCCTGAAGCCTTACCCACCTGTCCCTCTAACCGTAATTAAACAAGGTGAGATGACCTCATGACATTGCCATTGTCTCATTTGTCTTTAATTTTGCCAGTTTTAAAGTAATGTTTCTTTCTTCTCTAATACAAGATTTTTCATGAAAGTTTTACAGAGAAAGATTCAAACTTGAAATAAGGAGGTATTTCTTGACCTTGGAAGTCTTCTAATTCAATCCTTTGTCCAATGGAAGAATCTCCATAATATCCAGCAAGAAATGCTGTTCAAACTTTGCTTGAAAACCTCTTAACAATAAGAGTACTCTTGTTTCCAGGAGACAAGCTCTTCCACAATAGCTCTTTGTAACTTATCTAACCCTGTCCCACCATATGTTTAAGAGAACAATTGTTATTTTTCTGCTGGCAAGTGATGGTCAGTGGGAAGAGAAACCAAATCAGAGAAATCCATCCATCCATCCATTTTCTTAATATATCCTGCATTAAAACTATAAAGAGAGTACAGCTTATGAGCTTCATTACTGAAACAAAATAAAGCTCAACAGTCAGGACAGCCCAATTTATGCAGCCCTACTTTCCTGTTAACATAAGACTGGAGGATAGTTTTATGTATCCGGTTCTTAGGCAATTGACGAAGACACATGACGAACAAGTAATCTCTTTATTGATCTTCTCCTTACAACCAAGCAAGAACTAAAAGACACGCAGCCTTTTATAGAGTTCTGAACCCGGACAGTGTCAGCCAATAAAAAGCTGGCTGTTTTTGCGCCTTGTGCATGCGCACAAGGTTAGCGACAGCCAGTCTGGTCCCGGGCAGCTTTTGAACATTTCTGAGCCTGCTGAATGCTTTAGCAGGCTCAGGACACAACAGATAGCATATTAACAAGGCCACTTGGCTGTATGTATCTTCAGGTAGTCAGGCTTTAATTCATTGAAGAATTTTAACACCAACATATTAAATCGTCCCAAAAAGCAATTTGTTAAACAGTACAGAACTTTCAAAATAGCCACTGTGTAATTCCAATATCTCTTGCACTGGTCTACACCTTGGCTGACGTGTTTTAACATAAATTAGAGCTTACAGACTTTTTTCAAAGATAGCCTTCTGGCCAGAGAAGATTGCAGTAATCAGACCGGCATATAACCAAGAGATGGATTTTATTTTATGCAATTAGTCTCATACTTAAAAAAATATATAGACCCAAAATTCTACAAAAAATTTCTATTTTCCAGAATGTATAATACTTACCCATAATTAGTATTCCATAAATAATGTATTGGATTATAGTTTTATGTTTCCTGCAAAATTGAAGGACCATATTGTATTTCCTTGCAAATTTCCTAGAAGGATAAAATGTAAGATAATAAGTACTGTAAACAGGATAACTTAAACACACATTATTTTGTACTGTAAGTAGATAAGTATGCATTACCCAATATATTAAAATTAACAATGAACAGAACATATTGGTTATACAGGAATTTTAGATTTTCTTTCCATTGTCTTCCTCAAGTGAGTAAAGGTTTTTACAAACATGTTTAGATGAGCAAACTATAGTAATTTGATTTTAGATACCATGCGAAGCCAAAAGCAATCAAAGTATTTAAGGGGCTGCCACAAAGAAGAGGGGGGTCATGTTATTCTCCAAAGCACCAGAGGGCAGGACAAGAAACAATGGTTGGAAACTGAACAAAGAGAGAAGCAATCTGGAATTAAGGAGAAACTCCTGACAGTGAGGACAATTAACCCAGTGGAATAGCTTGCCTCCAGAAATTGTGGGCGCTTCATCACTGGAGATTTTTAAGAAGAGGCTAGACAGTCACTTGTCTGAAATGGTATAGGTTCTCCTGCTTGAGCAGGGGGTTGGACTAGAAGACCTCCAAGGTCCCTTCCAGCTCTATTCTATTCTATTCTATTCTATTCTATTCTATTCTATTCTATTCTATTCTATTCTATTCTACTCTACTCTACTCTACTCTACTCTACTCTTTCACATGATGATTTTAGTGACATGTATGAAGCAAGCCTAAGATCCACCAGGGTCTGATCAGACTTTGTGTAGTAGTTGGAAATCAGGCTCCAGACCATCCTTGGCTATCTGAGTGAGTGAGTTTGGGGCCAGCCTAATTAATTAATTAATTAATCTTGCCACAAGGTGAATCTGGGCAGTGTACAAAATTAAAATCAATAAACAATACAAATGAATATATCAATAACATTATAAATTATTGCAAAAAAGGTGGGGAGGGTGGGAACAAGGTGTGCAGAGAATGAAGTGGGATCTGCTTTTAGTCCATCAAGCACCTCCAGAGTGGCACTACCCCATTGGGGCTTAAGCCAACTGGCAGAGCCAAGTTTTCAGGGCCTTACCAAAGATCAGGAGGGTAGGAGCAGAAACCCTGGAGGGTTCAGATGTTCCAAAAGGTATCTCTTAATCCAAACCACCCAAAAATATTATTGTTATGGAAAAATCTTGTGTGAGCCATCTTGAGCTCTTAGAACAGAGGTTCCCAACTCCCGGGCCGTGGCCTATTTTGAATTGGGCTGCGCAAGTGGCTGGCTGGTGCGCATGCAGTTCAACTGGCGTGAATGGCATACCAACGGGCCCTTATGTGCATGCGTGCCGGCCTGCCACCCACTCAAAGGCTGTGTTTGTGCATGCACGTGCACCAGGCCTACACTCTCATGGCCCAGTTCCCCTCTTCCATCCCAGCTGAGCTGCCAAGCCACAAAGATTGGGGTCCCCTGTCTTAGAAGAAAGATGGGATATAATTTAAATAAATAACAATCATATGCCAATAAGTTAGCGCAACCCTCTATGGAATGTTTTATTACAAAAGAAGCAAAGTATGACAGAGTGATTGAAGATTGTTATTTACGTATCAAAAATAACTTGGAAGCCGAAAACTGAACCCAGTGTGTCTGAATGCACTAAAACTTCACTCAAAAGGGACATCGATAGGTAGAGAACTCCTAATGAAAATATTACCCCTTGCACCCAAGATTCTTGTTTTCTTCTGATTCAGGTTGGCTTCCATATGGCTTGCTGTCAATATTGATATTTGTCTCATGCTAGGAGAAGAGAAAGCAAAATGGGTTACTAATCATATGTTTTTATTCCCTTGATTCCTCTTCAAGGGCCAGATACAAGGAAAACTTGCCTTCTAGTTCTCAGTGTGTCTCAAGATGTCTGCTCTCTATTCACCATCCCACATTATCTCAGTTACCTTAATAATCTTTAGGTATGTTTAATTGAAAGGGTAGGGTTTGGTTACCCAATGCGTATAACTTTTCTTCCCTATACCAAAATCATATTCTGACGCCTTCCTAGTTCCCAAACTATTGATTTAAACAGTAGTTTAACACTAACAGCCAAAGAAAACTGTGGTGTGTTTAGCTCAGCACAATGCCAACACAAACAAAACTTGTCATTTCCTCTTACCTCATCAGGATGAAGAGAGTTACTTCTTTCTAAGTTCCTGTTTCTTAATGCAATACCATTTGTCTTTGAATCATCGGTGTCTTCCTGCAAGGCACAACATTTGACTTGAGATGAACAGATTTCAAGTTAGCGTAAGCGACAATAGGAGTGACATTCATCCTGCTGTGCTGTCAGCCCCACTCGGTAGATCAACCCAGCAAACCAACTCCACATAAAGGCTACAGTGGCTTTTCCTGAGATTGACCATAATACCAGAATCTTGTAAATCTGATTGAGCTCATATTCTTTATCATTCAGTGAATTAGGCAGGCATCTGCCTGAGTCGTTTCTGAATGTTATCTCTTTGTTCTGGACTTTAAAAATGTTTCATCCCCTTTTGCTTAGGTAGCGGTTCCTGCATATCTCTGCTCAGGCCATCTTCCTTATTCCCTACAGGTGTCTTCATAAGAAAGAAGGAGAATTAAAGGCAGCCAAAAGCCATTAATGGTATGTGTGTACAGAATGAGATATTGCGAGGGGGATCGCATTCCCACCTCTGTGATAACCAAAAATTGGAATGAGATGGATAGGAGTGGATAAATTGCATTCTAGATCTCCTAATGCTCCCACTTTTTGTGATTCCTGGATCCCCTCTCTTCTGCACCAACATATTTCCATATTTTTCCAGCACAATGATTACTGAAAGTCAGTTGCATGGATTGTTGCTAGTTTGAGGCAGGATTCATACAAAAACTTTAGCTAAACCTATTCCCCATGTTTAGCTCTGATTAGACTGGAATACCTCACCAAAAAAACCAATGTGTATATGAATATTGGGAAACTGTAGGGAAGAGCATAATAGTTATGGACTATTTTCCTGGGGGACACATTCAAGTTGCAAATTCCAAGTTGGCAATTACTATTATTGTGCTATCATTGGAAATGGAGTTGCCTGCCGGTGAGTAATGGAAGCTTTTAGTATCTTGAGAAATCAGAGAAGCACTTAGATTGGCTTACTATAAAATTGCAAATAAAAACTGCTTAACCAACTTTGAACAAAGGAAGACTGTTGGTTTTCAATGATTGGGATAATTCATATCATGTAGTTAACTCATTATCTGCTGAATGGTTTACAGATTGTGTTTTTGATTAAATACAATTTTGCAAGTTTCATTTTAGTCCATCTCACAGAGATCATAAAATCTTAACATTAGCTTAACAGTTAAACAGCAAAGAAAGAAAAGTATGGTTTGATCTGTACTGTATCACTGCCCACAAAATAATATTAAGTGCAGTTCTTGGCCATTTTTTAGTTTCTGTTTCCATGTGTACAACTTTGGCACAGCCTCTAATTTCTCACAGAGAAGCAAAGCCAGATTGTGACAAGGAGGGTGGGACAGGGAGAAACCGAATGAAAAGTAAATAGGTAGAATTTGTAGCCTTATATTTTGAGCAAACTCATGTTAGTAATTAGCAACACTCGGGCTTGGCTGGTTTCTGCTGAATTGTCCTTTGCCAGGCAAGACCAAGGAAGCAAGAACATGGATTTTAGTACAATACCTTTAATGTTCATCCTGGATAGATATAGAATCTTCATAACTGTAATGAGTCAATAAAGGCTAAATCTCTTGCCTGGGCTAAATTGCCATTTGTAAATAAAATAACCCATCAATTGATCCAGTCTCAGGACAACTTTCCCAAACATGTCTATGGAGATTTTCAGTCATCCAGGTCATAGCTGTCTCAAAGATGTTTTTTTTTTTAAAAAAAAAAAGTCAGTTGGACTGTTTTTTCCTTGAGGAGGAGGAAGCTTCATCAGTTGTGGGGGAATTAAAGGATAGGTTCTGACAGGATGGGGGGGGGGGACAATGGAAGAATTACATTTTTTTGCAGTCATCTGGTCATTAGCACTCTCCCTGAGAGTTGTTGAAACCACTTGGGAGTTTATCTAGGCCTTCAGAGTCATTCAGGTGACTTTGAAAGCACAGATAAACCCCTAAGTGGCCTCAACAGCTCTCAGACAGAGTGCTAATGCCTAGATGACTGCAAAGAAATATAATCTTTCCATTCCCACCCCCCCAATCCTGTTAGGACCTGTCCTTCCATCCAGTCATAATACATGAATTTTCTTGGATGAGAAGTGAAATGTCTTCTTCTTCCTCAAGGAAAAAAATCAACCCAGTTGCCTTTTGGGGAGGAAAAAAAGCACCTTTGAGTTTCCCAGTCATGGTTCATGCGCAGAAATCTATTAATGAATTTTCTAACTTAAATCACTGTAAAGATTAGATCGGTCACTTCATTACAATGGATCAGAGTACAGTTCAAGGCTCAGACAAATCAAAATCTGAAACCCATTAGAGTCTGAGGAGCCAAGCTTCAATTTTTCAAGGATCAAGAGGGCCAAAGGAGGCCATTTGGTGAAGTGGATCAGAGGGGAAAAAAAGCACTGCTGGATTTTTTTTTTCACCTTTTACTTTAGCTTATTTCAATATACTGAATTAAGGATAGGAAACAGTGGGAGGCATCTGGGAACAAACTCTTCCCATCACCAACCTTAAATCCCACAAACACACTGTTCCTGGCAGAAATGTGATTCGGGGCCTCTGGGGTAGAGCCTTTGAAATATTAGAGGTGGAAGTGGAAATATCTTGCCTTCCAGAATCTTCCAGCTCCATTCCCACCCTTTATTCCTTCTCGCAAGAATCCAACACTGGGTCCAAATGATGATGTCAGGGGTTGACAATTGGCCATTTTGCCACTGAATTTTTGTAATGGGATCTTGGGGTGCTATGAGGAATGTAGAGTGCTTCTTCCATTTTAAGAGGTGCTGGGAGCCTCTGCTAAAACTGGAGGCCACATGCTGCTTTTTAGCTGACCTCTACTGTCTACGGATGGTCACATTGACATTTTAAAATAATAATAAAAAAGATGGCTTTTAAGCTTAATAAATTATTTAGCTAAATCCAAAGAGGCACATTTCAAAGCTAATAAAAGCCACATATTTTTGTATCTGTATTAAACAGAATCAAGTATCTTTACGTAACCGTATTAAAATGCAAGCAAACTTGTGGACTGTAAATTTGCTTTCCATCTGATAATGCTAGTTGTTTGTTGAACTTACTTCTCAAGCAACAAAGGGGTAAATTTAAATCTTAGTAATATAATAATGAGAACCAGTTTGGTATAGTGGTTAAAGCAACAGGCCTGAAACTGAGAAAACATGAGTTCCAGTCCTGTCTTAGGAACCCAGCTAGGTGACCTTGGGCCAATCACCCTCCCTCAGTCTCGGTCAAATATTTAACTTCTTGATATACATACATTACCTATATAATAAACTTGTGAATTGAGGGAAATCCAGATTCAAATGCCTGCCAAGGCATGAAGCTTTTTGAGTGTCCTCGGACACTTACTCAACTCATTTCATGGAGTTGTGAAGATAAAATGGAGGATATGCACAAACAGAGATCTACACACAGAGAGACATAAATACACATTCTGCTCCCTGAGGGAATAGAGTAGGGGTTCTCAACCTTGGCAACTTTTAAGACTTGTGGACTTCAACTCCCAGAATTCCTCAGCCAGCTTTGCTGGCTGAGGAATTCTGGGAGTTAAAGTCCACAAGTCTTAAAAGTTGCCAAGGTTGAGAACCCCTGGAATAGAGGAAAGAGGCAAAGCACAAAAAAAACCAGTTCCTAAATTCCATTAAAGTTTTCATTTTGTTTGTTTGTTTAAACAACACCTTTCGTCTGCCTGTCCTGATTCTGTCATATGGGAGCTCAAACTGCAAGTTCTGGACTTTTAGTCACCAGTTTAATATGCCACAAAGTTTAAGACGCGATTGCACCCTCTGAACTTCAGGCAGGCAACTATAAACTGCAGAAACTGTTATTTTTGCAAGGAGCATAAATTATACCCCGTACTTTCTTCCTGTGATATTTTCTCCTCCGCAGTACTGTAATTTGCTAAAGATAAGTAAGGGGGAAAAAAGCTCTTTTTACTCCTTTCAGTAGCTGGTTTTGCAACAAAGATGCAAGTTCTTAGTTTTCTTGTAAATGAATTTCTTTTTCCTTTTTTTTTTAAAAAAACTTCCTACAAGTGGAAAGCTTACAAAATTTGCAGAGGAAAGAGATGAAATTGGACATCTTGCAAAAGAGATTGCAAAGAGTGTTTTCCTCTTGCCTTCTAAAGAAAGTTCTGTTGCATGTTCACGACCTTTTCTACTTTCTTTTCCTCATCTGACCTTACTGAGCAGAATGGGAGGAGATATTTTTGATTCATAGGTCATTTGTTCCCATTATCCTATCCAAGTTTGATGTGCCACCAAACTGCTTCTTTGAAAATCGTAAAGAGTTTTATTCCAATCTTGTGCCTGGCGGAAGAATAGTAAATGCATTTTTTAGTGTTCTCTCTTAGTTAAAAGTTATGACTTGAGGTCTGAAGGCCCATATCTAGTTTGCTACAGTATGTTGATGGTGATTAAATGTGATAAATGCATGTGTGAATGCTTTCTTCATCTTCCAGTTGTAGATTCCACATTTGAAAACAGGTCAATTAGGCAGAGACTGATGTATCCCACCTGGGCATCACCCAGGTGTGCCATAGGAATTGCACTGTGGTATAATGGTTAGAGAAATAGAATGGGACCAGGTTGAAGTCCCCGTTTCACTGTGGAGCTCATAGTTTAACTTTAGGCATATTTCAACAGGGTTGTGAAATTAAAATGACAGTCATCCCACAGACACTGCTTTAAAAGAAAGATCACTACATCTGGACGAGGATGCCTTGATGTCAGCCACTCATAGCAATAGCAATAGCACTTAGACTTATATACTACTCCATAGTGCTTTTACAGCACTCTCTAAGTGGTTTATAGAGTCAGCATATTGCCCCCAACAATCTGGGTCCTCATTTTACTGACCTTGGAAGGATGGAAGGCTGAGTCAACCTTGAGCCCTGTGAGGATCGAACTCCAAGCTGTGCACATTCTAACTATTGCGCCACTAGGGCTCTTCATCATGACTCATACTTCTCATTACCTCTGTCAGGTTGCGGGGTATTCTGTATAGGGATATCTAAAGCTGAAATCATTTTTAAATCCATTTGCAGCACAGAAAAGGAATGCATCAAGCAGCATCTTGCCATAATTAAATCTGCCTGTCCTACTTAGTAATCTAAGGAAGACTTGTTAAAAATTCCCAACCCATCAAAAACATATAAACAACAACAACAACAATAACAACAAAACCTTTTCTGTGATAGCTCCCTCCCTTTGAAACACACTCCCCCTGAGTATGACCTCTGCTCTGCTTGTATTTCATACACAACTACCTGCTATTTCAACAAGATTTTCCTCCCAAGGAAAGCTTTTTAAGTTTGCTTTTGAGGTACTGTAGGCTGGCACAGGTTACAAATACTTTTAAATAAATAATGAAATGCACTCCAGGAAACACCCACAATTATAAAACGTAATTGGGATTGCTAGGGGATGACTTCCAGGATCCAAATTCTTAATTTTCATTATCCGACTTTTAACTCTTCTTCCTATCTGCCCAGTGACTGCAATCCTTTTTGTTGGTTGGGCTCACATATTATTGTGAGCCAAGATTTCTTTTAGCTGTGGTCTATTGAGAAAGTTATAGTGGCCTAGATTACACATAAGGTTAAGTTATATCAACATACCAAAAAAATCAAACTGGATTAAGGTGAAGTACAATATGGAAACATGATTAGGTGTAACTGCAGAGAGCTCTATGGATTATCTGGCAATACCCTGATTCAGGTCAGGGTATAGGATGGAAACTGTATTGGCCACTCTCATTGATAACTTGTGACAAGGGATAAATGGTGGAAGTACAACCCTCCTTGTCCTGTTTGACCTCTCAGATGCCTTTCATATTGTTGAGCACAGCATCCTTCTAGGCCTCCTGCAAATCTAGGCTGAAGGGAGGCATTCTTCTGTAGCGGCTGTTCTCCTTTCTAAGTGGGCAAGTCAAGTGGATGGTTGCAGGAGGGGAGAGGTTGAATCTGAATGTATTTCAGTAGGGAATGTCACAGGGATCACTTCTCCTGGGTTAGTTAACATGATCATGAAGCTGCTGGGAGAGGTCATGTGCCCACACAAAATGAAGTCTCATCAATATGTTGATGGTAGCCAACTAGACATTTCTACCTTGTATTAGATTGAAGATGCTATGGGTCCTGATTCAGTCAGTGCCTGAAGCTGTCACAGCCTATGTGGGAAGAAACAAACTCAGAGACCACATAAGTAAGGCACAGTACAGAAACCAACTGATTCTGGAGTGATGCCATGTTCTCCCTTGCCTCCCTCCCTCTCTCTCTCTCTCTCTCTCTCTCTCTCTCTCTCTCTCTCTCTCTCTCTCTCTCTCTCTCTGTGTGTGTGTAGGTGTGTGTAACAGCCATTAAGTCATAGCAGAAGGGGACAATGCCAGTGCTATAGGCAGGCTTTGGTCCAGATCAACTTGCCTTCCCTAACCAATAGCATGATGTATTGGGCTTCAATTCCTGCTTTCATGATCTATGGAAACATGGGATTTATAGGCTTTGTTCACACAACATGTTTACCTGGGCTTCACTCCACTGAGTCATGGATAATTCAATTTTCTAAATCAGATAAGCTACTGATTGAACCTGTAAGCTATCTGGCATTACCTGAGGTCATCAAACATATTTTTTGATTAATTATGGATTATGTGCCATCATGTTGGTGCTTCATATTAACAGTCTTAGATTCGACTGACAATCACATGATTTGCTTAATGTCTATGTGATTTCCTTAATGACCATGGAATCAGGGATAGGCATGGCTGGTTCAGGAATTCTGTGAGTTGAAATCCACGAGTCATAAAAGAGCCAAGGTTGCCTGCCCCTGACCATAGTGATTCACTTAATTATCACAGTAAAACTGGTCATACAATCAGATCTGGTCATGTGATGACTCATTTACAACTGCACTGACTTACGATGGGAATTCTGGTCTCAGCTGTGTTTATAAGCCAAGAACTACCAGTATCAGGATGCTTTGGATTGTTGCCAAATAATTTTTCAAAATAATTTTTTATATGTTAATGTAAACTTTGGACAGTGGAAGGTCATCATTCCTCTGATAACCTTCCTCTTGCATGTGATTGTGCTATCTGGTTATTTTTACAATAGCACTTCTAACTCAACCTGAGTAATAGTGGGAATGAAGATGTTAAGAAATAATTCATAACAAACACAAAGGAGGAAGAAGGTGAGAAAGAGAAGTGATTGCGAATCCTGTACCTGCTTCCCACAACTGTCCATGTTAAGCTTTATAATAACTTTCAGGGGCTGTTATGTGATATTTTGACCATTAGAAAACAGCTAAGTGCCGCTGGACGATTGATATAAATTGAGAATTCTTTTACTTATTTTTTAGAATATGGTAAATAAACTGGAACACATTTATATTAGTGTTGACTGATAGCCTTTGTTTTAAATTTAATGATTAATCTATGCACCTCTGAAAATGAAAGGAATTAACTCGGTGCCAAGAGGATATGGGAGATCCAAGGAAGTTGGGGAATTTAACCAACCTGGAAAGTGCTAGGTTGAGAAAGTTACACTAATGAAGCATTTTAGATATAAATATTTTCTGTCCCTGTGGGTACTACTTTAAATACTATTAGTAAATACTAATTAGTGTTGATAACACTGGTAAAATGGCACAAGATGCTTAAAAATGCAAATTATACCTACATATATGTTGTAAAACAATTACACTGTACAACCAACACTGCTACCACAGTCATTACGATCTATACAACGTGATCTAGCCTGGGATTCTCCCCCCATCTCCCAAATAGGTTAAATAAGTTCAGAATGTATCTAAAAGTTGTACTTGCAACTAATTCAGTTCCCGAGTCAAACAGGAGTAGGACTAATTTGTTGATATAATAATCCAGAAGGGGGAAAAAAAGCCCAGTAAGTCTCATATCTCTTCACAATGGCATAATTGTATTCAGTCTTTGAGAAAAGAGCATTTGCACTGACAGGTTCTTTCTTAGCAAGTTTATTTGTTATTAAAGAATTGTTGCCTGGGCGAAGCAGGTGACAGTCCTTCCTTGAAACTTTGTTAAAGTATTTGAACTTTTTCCAGAACGACAACAAAAAACATTTTAAACTTACCTCAAATCCTGGGTTCTTGTAGCTATTAGAAGAAGTGCGGTTAACTGTGGACATAGTTGCAGAAATAATCCCACCAAGGTATTTAAAAAAACAGACACCTTTGCTGCTGGCAGAGCTGCAAATATGGTCCTACCCAGCTAGCAGCAATATCTAGTTAAGCTGTGTGTTCTCTCTTTCTTGACGTTTATCTGACTCTTAACCACACCATCCAACCTTACTCTGAGGTCATTGCTCCACTTTCCTGTGTCTCTCTGAGCAATCATTCTCCCATACAAAACTGTAAAACTCCAAGCTTGTGAAATTTGAAAGATCATGATTAACACTTGCCTATGAGCATCCAGTGCTTGTTGAACAATGAAACCGCCCATTCTACAATTTTGGGAGGCAGCCACATTCCTACACATTGTTATAAATGAATGGAAAGGGTGAAGTTCATAGTGACTGAAGAACTTCTGAGGGAACTGAAGATTTGGATTTATGTTCGGGAGTGTCCTGGGGCAGAAGCGGGCAGAACGTAGAACTAGATCTTTGCAGAGCTAAGTAGACCTTTAAAAGATGTTCACTTGATGGGAAAGATTCATGACCAAGAATGGTAGCATGGTTCAACAGTGTACTAAGTCACAATGTAGTTTGTTCAATTTTTTTCAATTTATGCCTGGACGTATCAAATCATGGCTTAATAAGACATGATTTATCATGATGTGAAATCTCAGCTATCTTGAATAGTTAAGTGTATTCTTAGGATTGGGAGCTCTGTTCAGTTCTAACATTTAGAGCAAATTTTTTACTTCTCATTATATCAGTCAGCACAATTCTATATATGTTCAGGTTCATGCATGTTCAGGACAAGTAAGGAAATAAGGATTCAGGAAAATAAGAAACAAACATAAACACATTTTCTCCTTCCTAGTGCTTTCCCACAAGTGCAGAGTCTGCAATTTTTTCAGAATCAATCAAGTATTGATTCATTGGTTGTAAAACACAGGTGTCAAACTCACCATGTCACGTGACGTGTCGCGACATATTGCAACTTTTTTCCCATTGGTGGAGCTGGGGTGGGTGCGGCTTCCACATGATGCAACTGGCCCGTTGTAAGAGGAAATGATCAAATGACTTGTGGCCTGACCCGGATGTTGTGGGATTAGAAAAAATGACTGGCCCCAAATCACCCAGCCGACTTTCATGTATAAGGTGGAACTAGAACTCACAGTCTTCTGATTTCTAGTCTGCTGCTCTAACTAGTAGGCCAAAGTGGCTCTCACACATAGATAAACCTTTGTTTTCATATTTTGTTTAATTGTAATTGTTAAATACATTATTTTCTATAGAAATACAGATAGAAAAGCATCCAATCTAATACATTAAAAGCTTGACTTGATGGTATCAGCAGAATACCATAAAGTAAAGCAATAAAGTAACCCTCAGTATTGGGGAGGTAAGGAAAAAAAAAAGTGGAGGTGTCAGCCATTTTCTTTTGTATGTATGTCATTGCACACATATTGAAAAGGAGATGTGGCTTTCATTGTCCAGTTGTGCCTGCCACCTTGACTTTTTGGACCCCCTTAGGCATCCCTGTTCAAGCTCTCTGGATTGGGTTCATAACATACATTAAGTCACAATGTGATTTGTCTGAATCTGGCTTAGTCTACTATGGGAACTTACCTATTGCCCTTCTTCATCCATGGTTTATAGTGCATATTGGGCAAACCTAGCCAATTATGATTATTCAATGAAGTATGTTTAAACAAACCACGATCATTCAATATATGGACTTGCTTTTCGAAAGAAAAAGCAGATATGGCCACTTGTAAACCTTATCAGTAAACCATGTTTTCGAACAGTATTTGAAAGAATACTGTTTATTTTGAGGAACATTGTTCGTTGTTTTTTATGGTTGAAGATGGGGTGTGTGGAAGCACTCAGAGTGGCCCTCATAGACCTTAAGGCAATTATACACAACCTGGGAAATACAACAGTGTTATAGGAAGTTAATTTCACAAACAAATAGTCCCACTCCTTTTCTTGATTGAGTTCCTGCTGTCATTTCCTGCTGTTTAATAATAACATGATTGAAAAACACTTCATAATTATGTAAATATTCCTCTCATGTTGGGATCATGTGATCAAGCAATGAGTCAATCACTTAAGAAACTGTACAGGAAGGGTAGCTTAGAAGGCATATAGGCCTTGCAATAATGTGTATAATACTAGCTTATTCTACCTGAACTTGTATAGAGTTTGTTAAAAACTGCCCAATCAAGATTAATTAATCATTAGTTACCTTTTATGTAAAGGAGATATGATTGCTGACAGTACTGGCAATAAGTAGGTAGCCCAATAAAACATCTGAGAGATCTTAAGGAGCTCTAATGTGAACATGTTGATCTTTGAATTAAAATATGCAACTTATCTGTAGAACTGGCCACATTAAAGGATTGGAAAGTAGCCAATGTAATACAATATTTCAAAAAAGACAAAGGACGTTCCAGGAAGCACAGGCTAGGTAAATGGGAGGTAAACATTAGTAGGTACAAAATTATAAGTTATATAACAGGAGAGGTATTAACAAAACAGATACTTTTTGCAAAGATCTAAGTTCTTCGAGTGTGCCTTTTGGAGTGCAAATGAGAAGTATTTTTTTTGCGTATTCTTTAATGAAAATGTACATCAAAGTAGACTAAGAAAATTTAGTAGACATAGAATAAATGCTAAAAAGATTTAGTAACACATGCAAGAAATGGGTTCACCAAACTCTCTCTTGCAGTAAAAATATCTAAAATACTGTGTCCTTACAATGGATAGATCTAGATAGTGGATCCCCCAAATACCTTTTTAGAACTGGCTTTTTAAAATGTGTATACAAATGGTCCTAGTTGGAGCATTCAGTTAATAATTATGTTAAAGGCACCAGAGTTATCTAAAGTGGTTAAACAAAAGTGGAATATACAGACCTACAGAAGATATTTACAAAAAGGGGAAAGTGACAAAATGTTAGCAAGGTAAAATAACTTCTTTGAGGGCAAAAATGTTCTAATATCACATTTATGCACCATGTGACCAGTAGGTGGCTGTTTTTGTTGTGTCAGTCTGGGATTTGTGCATTATGAAAATAATATTACCATCTAGAGGCTCGTTGGAAAGGTAATAATACCATCCTTTTCACAATATTTTTTATCTAAATCAATGATGCAATTACCTATAAATATCAGAATCACGCAAGCTAATGTATTCCTTGTAATACTCTGAGACCAGTCAGGTTTTCTTTGCTTTACTCTTAATATTTTGGTACTTGTTTTTATTACTATAATTATTATTATACATCAGTTGTGAGATTCCTGTTGAATGAGCTGAGTTCCATTTACACACCAGCATCTCTTTTCCACTTCATGTTCTCTTTGATCCATCATGCGCCATCAAGTTGGTGTTGATTCTTAGCAAACAGGTAGATTTCTTCCATGACAATTTTTCCCTAATCTGATCTTTCAGGTCTTCTAACGGTGTACCCCTGGCCACCGTAACTGAATCTATCCCCTTTCCTGATGATCATCCTCTTCTTTTTTCCTCAACCTTTCCCAGCATTAAAACCTTCTACTGGGGAGCTAGGTATTTGCATAATGTGCCCAAAGTAGAATAATTTTATTGTGGCCATTTGCGACTTGAATTAAAGTTCTAGGTTGATTGGTTTGATGATCCATTGGCTTGTTTTCTGAGCTGTCCAAGGTATTGGCAGGGGTTTTCTCCAATGCCAAAATTCAAAACTATCAATACTCTTCCTGTCCTGCTTTTTCAAAGTCCAACTTTCACTTCCATAGAATGTCTCAGGGAATATCATGGCCTGAAGTATAGGCATTCTGTGAGGAAGAGAGGCCGTCTCAGAATTTGATAAATAAATACATAAATTTATTTTTCAAGGCCTCCGTGGCTTCTCTGCCAAGCGCTGGTCTGTGATGCATTACTTGACTGTATGCTCCTTCAGTGCCGCTTAAGTTTGTTGTACAGTGTACCAGTTCATTTCCTACTTAATGAACATTTTCCATCTCTTTGGAACAAATCATGAGCAAGTTTGGAGGATACTTTCTGTTGCTAGAATCCTTCATTTGCAGACAATGCTACAAATCCAGAGTTATTAATTTAGTTACAGTGAAATATTACAATTGAAAAGAAGGCTAGATATTACATTCCACTTTACATTTATATGTTGACCTTAAATGTCTCTTGAGAAGTGGATGATTTGGAATAATAATCATAATAAAGTTGGAAGGAACCTTGGAGGTCATCTAGTCCAACCCCCTGCTCAGGCAGGAAGCCCTATACCATTTCAGACAAATGGCTGTCCAGTCTCTTCTTAAGTGTTGGAGCATTCACAGCTTCTGGAGGCAGGTTGTTCCACTGATTAATTGTTCTAACTGTCAGGAATGTGCTTTAATGTTTAGAAAAAATAGTTACATTACAATCAGCATTATGATCAGCAATAAAACCAGCTAATGTATCACTGCGTTTATCTCAACAAATTGCAAATTGCCTTATAAAAGAAGGCTGTGCCAGTATAAAAATAGATCAGATCAGTCATAATGCAAACAAATTCTTCAACAAGAAAAGGCAAATTAGGGAAATTAGGCAGACATGGAAATTGTGCAATACATAATATTTTCAAGTGGTAGACTGTCATGGGTCTCTCTCTCTGTGTGTAGTGTGTAGTAGTAAGTAGAGACTTCCCTGGTTTAGTGCTGTCCAAATTTATCTGGCTTGCAGTTCTCAGAATTTCTTACAAGACGATGTCAGGTTGAAGAAGGCCAATAAGTGGTGCCATTCCTCAAGGCTATGATTATAAGGTGCAAGGAAAAGCAACAATAAAATAAACAGCAAGTTTCAACATCATACATTAGCATAAGTATGTATATATGTTTGTACACACACACACACACATGAAGTATGTATGTATTTGTATGTGTATATCTATGTATGCAGGTGTGTATAAACCTCGACTTACGACCACAGTTTGAGGGCAACATTTTAGTTGTTAAGTGAGACATTTGTTAAATGAGTTTTGCCCCATTTTATGACCTTTCTTGCAACAGGTGTTAAGTGAATCTCTCCAGCTGTTAAGTTAGTAACATGGTTGTTAATTGAATCTGGCTTCCCCATTGATTTTGCTTGCCAAAAGCTTGCAAAAGGTGATCACATGACCAGTGGTGGGATTCAATATATGTGAACAACCGGTTCTCTGCATGGATGCCACTTCCGGAAGTCCATTCTGGACCTGGGCAACAAA